ATGAACACATAACCTTTCATTTTTTTCATGGGGGGATAAGGCTGGGAGGACGGAGATGGCCAAAGGCAAGAGAGGGATAGGGGGAAGTGGGATTATCTGTGTATTGACAGAACGGTTTATTTTTCTCTGGCAAAAATAGATCCCAACATATATTTCCACTAGCCTTTTTTTTATTTATAAAGATGCAAAGCCCAATCTGTCGCCAAGACCCATTATCCCTGCAATTGAGTCAGACAGTATATCTTGCTTATTGAATACTGTGTGTTTTATGAGGACAGAAGGGAAAAGAGATGTTCACTCTTGTAACCTTATGCTGTTTATTAGCACAGTATATTTACCACCACTACCAAAATGGGAGAGCTCATATTTTAGCCACAGCAAAACTAGGCAATAAATAACATGTATTAAAAAATAATGAAATTGCCCTGTACCCTGCCACTTGTGAGGAGGTGAGACTGTTCTATGATGAGGTGCACAGCTCTTCCAAAATGCTTGGTTTTGATGTGCTATGATTTGTCTTCACCTTCACAGGTGGAAAGAGCACTGGTTGGATCGATTGTACCTGTGCTAAGTTTGAAAACACTTCTTACATGTGCTTTATGTCTTGCCTGAGCTCAAGCATCTCTAAGTACTTCCAATCTCCTCATAAATACACCTTTGTATTCTGCCTAATATATAAACATCACGACCCATGTCTGAGAATGTTGGGAATTTTATTAGGTTCATAAAGTTTTAGTTGCGGTCTAGCCCAATGGATCCAAAATAAATAAACACAGAGAGCAAAAAGAGTAACAATTTCATACCTATTTCTTCTCCTCTCCCTTGAGAGTTTAGCCAGTACCAGTGAAGTACTTGCTGCAGTGTTTTTTGTGCTTTGCTATCGAATTATCTGCAAGCCAGGATGCAAAAAGCAGATGCAGAGAGGAAAAGTGGGAAAAGTAACTGAAATGGGCCTGTTTGTACCTTTCACCGATTTCCTTGGTCCCTTTCCACTGTAAGGACTGAGGAAAAAATGTGACTAATTGCAGATGAATTGTGACAGCCACATTGCCTCTATTGTTGCTCAGAGTGAAGTTGCTTGGTTGGGACAGCTTCCTAAGCCTTGTGGTGGAGTATAAGCATCATGGCAGAATGAAAACCTCACAGAGTACAGCAAGATCTAGCTCTTGGTCTTCAGTCTGCAGTGGCTCTTTCTCTGGCTCTGGACAGAGAGACAGGGTTGCTCCTCCCTTAGCACAGAGCTTATTTTATCTACAGCTAATCAATAATATCAATATAATATAATAATATTTTTCCTAAGCTATCAATAATATCAACTTTTTCACCTGAGCTATGGGTGAGTGTCGTCTCTGCTTCATTATACTCCATAGATATTTCAAGCATCTCTCCCTCAGCAGATCTACCCTGCTGAGGACATACAAAGTCTTTGTGGAAAGGTGTTTTTATCATGAGACAAGTCTAAGTGCCATGAAGCCATTGCACCCTTAAAACTGATTCTGTTGTGATCCTTCAACATGGCAGAAAAATACAGCCCAGCAGACCTTTTAGAACTGGGGGATTAGCTAGCCAAGTCTCACATGGGAATCAAATTAATAGCTTAGGGCAGTTGCAAAGCTAAATATATGCATTTTTGCATATCTGTTATAGTAGTACGAGAGCCAGAGATGATACTACTTTTGCAGGAAGAATTGGGAGGTAAAACTTTAAAGATCCAGCCCTAAAGAGCTTTCTGCTTGTTTATATGCACTGCAATCACTCTGTTTCAAAGCTATTGGAAAATTATTTTTGGAATGTAGCAAGTGGCATAATACATGTTACAGATCCTATTCCTAGTTAGCTACAAAGCTTACACTGCATTTGAGGTGGGGATAGAGACAACTTTTTATTGTTCAAGAATTTTTACAAAGGAAAAGGCTATTTTAGAGCAGATAACTGTAACTGAGCTACAATTACAAACCAAATAAGACCATGCTATTTTTTCCTCCCTTTTTCTCAGCTCACAGCTACACAGCTGACACTTGAGTTTGGTTGGAAATTTCTCAGCAAGTCAGAATTTTGTCGGAAACCTCTCAACAGCTTGCAGGGTCCAATATACTAGGGCTATGAAAAGCCTTGGACTTGACAGCCTTTTGCAAGCCCAAAGTTCCTGTCAGGTATGTCTAGTGGTGGGAGCTGCCAGGCTCTTAACCCTGGGGGAGATGCATCTACAGGGAGGAAGGGGGATGTTTGCATTTGGGCTGAGGAATGATGAATCTCGCCATCCTGCTGGTTGGCAACTCTTCTGGAAAAAGACTGTACAGGACCAGTCTACAGACCAGCTCTAAGAGGGGGATGGATTGACACAGAGCCCAGATGGATGTAGGTGCCTTCCTTCAACAAGGTGTAGATGTTGGTTAGTGCTTGTCTCACTGCTGTGCACTGACTGATTCCCACTGTCTCATGCTCATCCTGCACCCAGGTTTGCATGGGGGGGATGCAGGGCAGGGGTAGTGAGTGTGTGCCCTCCTGGGCTCTGTCAGGCATGTGGGTGAGCAGAGGGGATCTTACTTCATCCTCAGCTCTGCTCCTGGCTGGGAGGAGGTGGAAGGGGAGGGCAAGCAGCCTCTCTTCCCCTCCTCAAACCAGGTGTCACTGTGGGTCAGCAAGGCTGTGACTGTGGGCCCCAGTAAGCATGTCACCGTCACTGAAACCCTTTGTATCTCCCACCCTTTTCCCCCCCTCTTTTTATTATTTTTTGTAATGCAAGTGCAAAAACCCCAAATGACTAACGTTCCTTCCAAGGCAATAACCACAAAACAGAAAATCAAACCCACAGAAATGCTTTCTGTTAAAAATTACTCACATTTCATCAAGCTTTGCTTATACCAAGGTGACACAGCCAAACCCACTGACGGTTCAGCTATGTGGCCTGAGAAATGCAACTGCATTAACAAAGCTGCTCTCAGATGTAGAGCAACACTTTTCATCTTCGTTAAAATACCACACTGCTACTCAGTTCCTTGCCTGTCAGCATCCTTTCTCGCTGGCCATTCTGCCTTCCCACTGGAAATGAGGCACATGTTGCCAAGATCCTTACAGTTGTATGAACTAAATATTCACCCCAGAAATCCTTAGAGATGTGGAAAGAACTGCTGCTTCACTCTTCCTTTTTCAGAAACCTAACTAAATCTCACTATTCTGTGAGTTACTTTTTTCTTTTATTAATAACAGTATATTTCATTTCATCCTACACAGCAACAGTTTCAGGCGGCTGCCCAACACTTGTACTCTTAAAAAGGGAAAACAATGCAGAAAGAGGATGTCCCCAGAGGGAGATCATGCCCTGCCCCAGCTGCTCACACATGCAAGACAGATTTTCTCAAGCACAACAACCAGTTGGGAACATGGCTGCTGTTCATGCCCTTGGAAACACCCCTCTTTGCCTTGTAAGTATTGGAAACTTGGCTCCCACTGCTGTAAGGATAGTTAGGGACTTTTCTGTTTTTGAGCACCAGCATTTCACTTGAATGAGTATATCAATGGTCAGTAGTGTGACACTCTGAGGGGTGGGACACGCATATGTGCCGCTATGGGCTAATGAAGTTTGAAGAGAAGGGCCAGTTTCTTCCACCATGTCCTGACTGGAGCTGAAAAGTCTCTGATGGGTGAAGAGGGACTTGCACAGAAAGTGAGCAGGATCTGGCAAGTGGCTTTGTTGTTCTATTTTTAGCAGCTTAGCAAAAAGCAGGCTCGGTAGTCCAATAGAAAGCTAAGCAGTTAGACACTTGTTCAACATCTGTGTCCCTGGCGTATCCTTCTTATTGAAATGGATAATATTTAGAACACATAGCCCAAGCGACAGCTGACAAAGGTAATGCTGAGATTATTAGCAACTACTGCAAGGCTCAAACAAAAATAGTGGCTAGCCACAAACCCCAGAAAATTCTACAAATGCTGCAGATATGTGGAGGTCACCAGGGTCTATGGGATACAGGATGTGTGCCTTCAGGACTAGAGACCATATGGGGAGATGGAGGAAGGTATAAGATGCATATCAGCTCAGCTCTTGCCTGTGCATGTGCCAGTGCTGAACATCTGGAAGCAGAGTGGGTACACAGCTTGGATGCTTTAATACAGTCCCAGGATCAGCATGTGCCTGATGCTGTCTGCATTTTCAGTCTCATCCTTGCCCCCAGCAGATAAAACAACTTGGAGATAATTGGCTCTTCCAGTGGCGTATAATGAAAGCAACATTATTCCTTCACAGAAGTGTCTTTATAAAGCAGCTGCTAAAGTAAATGTTTACAGTTATGTCCCATCTCAAAATATGCTATAAACTCCATGAGCTCTATGTATAAGGAGCAGGTTGGATGACTGTATTTTTGCCACTGAATACTTTATATCACCTGCTGTAGCTATGAGAAGAAACTCATAGACTGAAAGAAATTGCCAACAGAGAATATAAAAAGGACCAAAGGATGTATTTGTGTTGAAAGTAACAGACTGAGATTCAGGAGGAAAGGTTCAGCTGGCAACCTGTCCACAGGCTTCCTTTGTGCTTTAGTTCTCCACCTGTGAAACATGGAAGCCGTATGCAGGAGAGTGTAGGGATGAGCATATCCTTACAGCTTAAGGCTTATTTTAAGGTTTTGGTGAAACAAGCACTGGCATTTATCATAGTTCAAATGGTAAAACATGTCCAAGTAGCACACAGATGCTGAAAGGACAGGTATATTATTTTTGCATATATAGAAATTTTACACCTGTAGGTAAACCAGAAACCATCAATAGCTGTCATGTCTCTACCTCAACATGGTAAAAGTAAGTGTAGTTTATCACAGAAGAAAGATGTCAAAACCATTGACTGATATTTAATGTTTTATTTAGTGGGTGATTAGAATCATCAAACTATAGGAAAACACAGATTGGAAAGGATGTTTGGAAGTAGTCTGATCCAACCCCACGCTGAAAGCAGAGCTGCCTTCACAATCAGGTGAGGTTGCCCGAAGCCTTGTTTGGTGAAGATTGTATCTTTGCAGGAGTGGGGTTGCTGCAGCGTCTCTGGATGCTGCAGCATCTCTGGACACTGTTCCAGTGCTCAACTGCCCCCACCACGAAGAAACCTCTCCTCCAAGAGACAGGTAAGAAAAGATTTATTTCCTGAATTCCAGAAAAGCTCAGTGTAAGTTGGGCACTTTCCTCTTTAATCACTTTAAAATTCAGGTAAGCTGTACACATACCTGGAGACAAAGACTTGCTTTCCAGAGTTTGACCTGCTCTAGTCAACTGAGCAATTCCTGAAGGCTGGGAGCAGTCCCTATACTGATTTTTTTCAAATATTTGGTGAAGTTTTTCTTTCCATTTGTGACTTTTTAATGAAAATTCAGTTCAGACTCATTAGCTGCTTGCTTTGAAGGTTGGGGTTTGGTTTTGGTTGGTGGGCTGGTTTTTTATTTGGGGTGGTGGGGTTTTCCTGATTGTGGCATTGGGTCAGAAAACTTACCTGATTTTGCTTTTAACACTGGCTGGGGAAAAAAAATCACACTCACTGTAAGGCCTCGCAGTTCATAGACCTGTCACTCTGGCAGTTGTAGACCTGTGAATAAATTTTTCTGGTAGGACAGCATGCAGTGTGAAATAATATAGGAGATAGTATATAATAACCATTATAGAGAGGCTAGTCTGAGAGTAAAAGTAGTAGTTTGCTAGTTTGAGTAGCTGTTACTGACACCTTATTTCAATCTAACTCTAGCAGGTTGAACAGAAATTGCAGGATGAGAAAATACCAGCATGAAAGACACGAAATGAAACGATGAGGAAAATAGTAGTAGAATTAGTGTGAATGTTAAATAGCAAGTAAATGTTAATACTTATTTTGAGTAAGAGCAGATAGTTATGAGCATATCCAGTTGCCTTGTGTAGATTAAGATATTCTGTATTACTGCTGAGTATGGTAAAAGTTTGGTGTGGCTCATAGATGGTGTTCTTCTGTTCTGGGATTCCTCTATTTTTATCCCTGTCTAGTAGTTTTCATCAGCCTTTCAAGGCAAGTTTTTATGATGTGGACAAAGATGGCATATAATCTGAGATACAGAGATTGATGGGGTTTTCTCATTTGTAAGGGAACGGTGTGCATTATCATTTTAACGTCTACAAACAGAAGATCACTTTTACATAAAAATAAAGTAACCTTGATAATTCATTGACAAACAGCATCAATTGCCATTTCTGTTGGCATCAATCATCAGCAAGTTTCTGGATGCTACTTAAGCTGCAACAGCATGGAGGAAAGGAAAGTTTCTTGTGTCATTTTCATTGGCCTTCAATCACAAATTATGAGTGCATTACTTTCAGGAATTTCATTATGTATAAGGCTGTCAGGTATTTTGGGACTTGATGATTTATGTTTTCTGAAAAATGTAGAGCTTTTCAGACAGCTGGGTTGTTTGGGGCTGGAGGAGCTAATGTAGCAGAGAAGGCACTCATTTGGGGAGAAATTTGTGAGAGATATGGTCTGCACATGAAGAAGACAAGCTACTGGCAAAAGAATTATAATATTATGGACAGCTATATAAAATACCAGATGTGAAGAAATAGGATGCCAAAAAAGCCAACAAGATCTCTGTGGGAAGCTTTTGGCATGTCAACTTTAATGATCGAACAAGATGCCATGAGAAAGGAGAATTTTTTTCCAGGAATCAGAAAACTAGGGATGTGGTTGCTGAAAGCAAGAATCTCAGGAGAGAGAAGAGGGAGAGAAAATTTCAGATAGAGATGTACAATGAGTTGCTGGAAAGCTTATACCTTAAAAGATTTGAGTAAGGGCATTCCAATTTCAAAGTCATTGTGTTAAGGATAATAACCTAAGCAAAAGAATCTGGAATAAATGGGAAGTAATTGTGTTGCTCCACTGCATGCTTCAGTATTGCCGCCACAGCACAGTGGAGTCCCTGTGGGCAAGTCCTGAGTCAGGAGCTTCTCTTGTGAGCACTTGGTGCTCCTAACTGATAGGAGCAAGGTAGATATCTCAGCTGTTAGCAGAAGATTGTGGTAGCCCTTGTATTTTACAGACAACTACATTCAGGCGCGGCTAAAATAATCAGAATGTCTTCTACAAGTGGCAGACCACTAAATGGACATCTTGGCTTATTCATAATTCTCACTAATGAAATACCATAGGGATATTTTTTGCTGGGATAACCATGTTTGCTACAAAATGCTGTTTCTTTCTGGAATGAGAGTCCAGTTATTATTGGTATGTTTCTAATGTACATAAGGCAGTCTCTTTTCCCACACTCTAATATTGCGGTTCTGCATTTTTGGTAGTAGCCAGTCAGATGTGTTATAATTATGAATCAGACATTGGTTTTAAGGCTTGCAGACCTCTCTCATAAAGCTTTAATTTCCTTAGCCATTTGCAATATTCATACTTCTGTCACATTCACAAGGTATCTAGACAGGGTACCACCAACTTCCAAGGCTGTGCCAGGCACAGTCCTGTATTATGTCTGCGGATTGTACTTAATTAAGCCCTAAGTAGGGCTTGACAAGTCATTGGCACACGATCCAAGTCTTTCTTATTTATCAGGGGTACAAGTGGTTTGTGGTCAGTCAAAAGCTGAAATTACTCTGGAAGAGTAATTGGAAGAGCTTTCTTATGCATTTTTCACATGCTTCTTTTACAATGAGACACTACTCAGTCTTCAGAGAGTGATTTATGTCAGCAGTGAATGACCAGGAGCAGTATGTAGCAGCCCTGCCAGTCTGACCAGGCTGCAATAATATAGTAATCTACAACGCAGTTACAGCAGGCGGCTGCAAGTGGTTACGGGAAGGGAGCACTGGTGTGCCTCAGGTAGGGCTTCTGCTCAGTTGAAAACATATTCTCGTATTATGTTCAAATATCAGGTGCTTACATTTTCCAGGAGTTCATTCCAAGGATGTATTATTGCCATTCACAACCCAGCATTCATTTCATTTTGACATAGATTCAGGAGCTTGCATTAATTTATTGCATACTTAGGCCAATTTACCTTTTCTCAGTCTGCCCTTAGGCCTAGGTTTTGTGCATGTTATCTCAGTAGTTCAGCTAGTTTTGATGTAGCCCAATGTTTATTGCATTTTAGATGCGGATACCAAGTGTCTCTGGAAATCTAGACTGGCTTTTATCATATTTCGCTTCTTAATGGCAATATCCCAGGACTTTGTCTGTACAAGCAGCTATCCTTTTCCAGGTGCTGCAGTAGCCTTGTCATTTCCTTTGGAATATATTGGGTGCAGTAGCAATGCCAAAAGGAAGTCTGCGGAAAGATTACCATCCAAAAGGCATAATAAAAGTAGTTAACTTGGCGCCATCTGGGTGTAGAAGCATCTGCCAAAAACCATTTGTGGCATCTAAAAGGGGAAAAAACTTGGGCATTCATCTTGGAAAGATGTTGTCCACTGCGAATAGGACAGTGTTCTCTCAAGCACTTCTTTTTGTTGATTCAGGTCAAAGGATATGCTGACTCGTCTGTTTTTGTTAAGGCCTTATAACCACTGGTAAACACCATTCAGTGGGTTTGGCTATTTCTTCTGTAACACTGACAGGGCTTGGACTGTCTTATCCTGTTCTTTGAGTGTGAAGCACTGAACTGAGTATGTTGTGACTCTAAACACCGTAAGGAGCTGTATTTCTTTGCGTAGTGGGGAGATGAACTTAGTGGTTCTTTTTCTTCCAGTGTTTTTGTCTCATTTTCTTTTGGCAGATATGGCAATGTCATTGGCGTATCTTACTGAAGAGTAAATTTTCGAACCCCTGGGAACAAAAATAGCACCCCATCTGTTCTGTAACATTGCAAATTACTACAGGTCTTACTAGAATGTATGTTCATTCATGAGTTCAAGAGACCCAGTCACTTGTTATTTGTTTTTAATCAGTTCTTCCCCACTTCTCATTTCTGACTGTTCCATGCTTCCCCTCAGGGACTTTATTCTTGTTTCTCCGTCTTCAAACCAAAGAGACTGCTTTCTGCCTATTTTTCGTCCTGCTTCAATCTCTCTGAGAGGACCTTACTCAGCTTTTATTGCCCAGCCTATTCCCCTCCATTCCTGCTGGGGTGAACATCACCACTGTGGTCTCAAGACCTCAGCTCACCAAAGCTCTCCTCTATCTCCCTGGAGATGTCCTGCTTCCACTAGAAGTCTGTCCCACTGTCTCCCTAGCATAAAATGGAAGTATGTGAGCTCACAAGGAGTTTTCATTGCTGGCAGCTAATAACTAACCAGGGCATGAGGCTCTCAAATGTATATGTATTTCTCATGTTTTTTCCTGGTAAAGAACTAATTCATGTTGCAAAAAAAAAAAAATAAAAATCCCCAAACTGTAAAATTTCTTCTATTTCCTCCTGTCAATTTACCCTGTGCAAGAAGATGGGTAAGTTGTGAGTGTACACAGTTTTGGCTGATACTTCACAGCCAATATTATTGCCAAAAGGCAAGAGCTGTCAACCAAGATGTGAGGATTCAAAAAATTAAAGTTAGTATTCATTGTTCTACATTTTACTTGACCAAAGCAAGCGGTCTGGATTTGAGAAATTATCATGCCCCTTTAAAAAGATCAGGCTTCAGTCTCATTTTTAAGCATTTAGAATTGAAAATCATTCCTGAAAAATTTGACTTAAGCTGCTGCTATTATACAAAAGGCATCACAAACTCTCTTGACCCTCAGAACTGAAATTTTCTTCTAACTCCAAGTTCCAGACCCACATCCTGCACACTTTCTTCATATCCTTCTGTTAAGTACTTCCAGTTGGAGTTCTTAATGAATAAGGGAGGTAGAAGTTTACCCTATTTATGCATGTGTATGTTCCTGTCCATACCCTTGATCAGGATTTACATGGCCCAGTATATACGTGTATACTCTTGTTAATTATGCCTGTGTGAGCCTACAGCTTTTGCTGCAGGAACCAAGAGAGAGAAACATGAAATTACTGTAGCCAAGTAGCAAATGTAAGATATGGGAATTTCCCTAATGGTGTAA